CTCTCATTGCTGTCGTGTGTATTGATCGTGGAACCAAGAAACATGAAATCCTTGACAAATTCAATCATTTCTCCATTTACCATGATGTGGCTTATCGATAAATGGAAGCCCTTGGTGTTGTCAATATTCTTCGCCGACACCGTAGTTCAGACACAGCGCTTCTTCTTCAGTCCTCCGAAGCATATGACGCCAGTGAAATACAATGGCTTAAGTCAGACGGACCTTAGTCCACAAAATAACCTCCTTATTTTCTACGCTTTGAAGAGGTCTTGCACAGAAGAATTGGCCAATGCACAGTGTCAATTGATCTCTTGACTGGTTGAAACTGAAGAAAATGAAAATGGGTCCATGAGAACAAATTACGACGTTGGATATATCACATCTGGATTTCAAGAACAGATTTGCTGCATTGAATACTAACAACAAAAAACCTGATGAGCTGTTGGAGAACATCAAAACCATCATTCATTAATAAAGCAAAAGGTCATTGAGATTGAACCTATCGCTGAGATCACCTTTTAGGAAAACAGTACGGTGGCACCCCAAGTAAAGGACATTGCCCACAAGATCAGTGTTATGCTTAAAAACCATCAGTGTGATAGCAAACCCACTGCCATCAAGACAATGGACCCTAGTGACCCTATAGGATAGGGTAGAACTGCTGCTCGGGGTTTCCCAGACAGCAAATCATTACAGGGACAGACAGCCTCATCTTTCTCCTGCAGTGGTACCGAGAGGTCAACCATTACTCAAAGCAAAACGGAGACGATAAGGGGCAGGGAAACTAGGGTGCTGCCGAAGGGATGAATGGAAAATAAAGAGAACAGGAACACGTGGTGACAAACATAACACATGTCCCTAAACAACTTGTGTAGAAACTGTCAAATGGGAACATCGCTTGCCCTGCACAGGTTCACCAAAAACGCAGGGCTGTTTTAAATTTTAATTTTACACTTGCTGCTGTGTTGACATCCTCTTGGGACAGAAATTGTAGCAAGATCAAGTGAGCTTGCTGGGGGTGGATTTTTCCAGCCAGGGAAGGCCTGTGCATGCGTAAAGTCAGAGAACTAGGAGGCAGTGGACAGGGAGAGAGAGAGGAGAGATGCTAACGATGGGGAGAAGAGAAAATGCTGCAATAGGTTTTCCTATTTCTCTTTTTGAGGCTCTCCCCACAGGGCAGAGTTCCCTGTAACTTGGGAACCAAAGCTATGTTGCCCCTTGAGGTTCTTTTACTAGTGAGAAAGGTAAGTTAATGAGTCTTTTCCTTCCTGAAACACTCAGACTTGGAATGGCCCTGGGAGGCGCTTGTGCTTGCACGCTTTACTGCCCTGCCCATGGCAAACTCACTGCCATTGAGTAGAGGGTGTTCCAACTCACAGTCACCCTTCAGGACAGAGTAGAACAGTCCCTGTAAGCTTCCAAGATGGTCACTCTATTTAAAAAAAAATCATTTTATTGGGGGGTCATACAACTCTTGTCACAATCCATACATACATCAATTGTATACAGCACATGTGTACATTTATTACCCTCATCGTTCTCAGAGCGTATCTGTGGCTGTAGACGTCTGTCTAGTTC